GAGAGAGAGAGAGAGAGAGAGAGGAGAGAGTGAGAGTGAGAGTGAGAGAGAGAGAGAGAGAGAGAGAGAGAGAGAGAGAGAGAGGAGAGAGAGAGACATTGCAACATTGATAAAACCCAAAACAAACAATTCTAAAATAACCGTTTCAGAAAGTAAATCCTCTTCATACTACTTAGTTTATGAACACCAAATACTTAGTCCGGTTGTCACCAATGTTCAATACATAAGAACTGACTCTACCTGATATTTTAGCAACGTATTCATAACGAGATACCTTGTTCATTTTCATTAACCATCATGGCTCCTAAACCCTAGCTATATTTCTTCCTCTGGATGAGATACTAAAAATAGCATCAAACCTCAAGGGTAAAACACTACACAGGAAATCCTATCATTAATATGTATCCGGTATATTGATATCGAAATAGTTTGTTTTGAAAGCAATTGCTCCGGTGCGAGTAACAGGTTATTTGGGTTGGAACAAGGTGATTTTGTTATAATGTCATTTAAATTTGTATAGCGTTCTATAGCCTTAAATTTGCATAGCGTTCTATAGCCTTAAATTTGCATAGCGTTCTATAGCCTTAAATTTGTATAGCGTTATATAGCCCAATATCAGGCAGCAACTTGTATGTTAATTCTAGTTAGAGAGTTGTTGAAACTGCACTGCAATCCCTTATTGGAATAAAAGGTTTGTATTTTGTGCTTGACTCATTTCTGTTGTAAGGTCGATTGGTTGGCCTTCGGTATTACCCCGAAATATAGGAGTATGATCGACTTATATTCTCTAAACAGCTGGTGAGACTAAATGCTAAAAGCTAGGTTTGAGATCTACTATGCACAGAAATTGATTACACTGGCCGAACATTCTGACAGTTGACACGTGTATTCTGATCCCACGTAATAACATGGGAAATTTCCGTTTTGTCTACCAGCTGTAAAAATCCCCAGCCAGGTATGGTATTAGGTTGGGCAACACGATTACGACCTACGGGAAAATCCTTTATTTTTCTCATGATAAGGTATTTTGAAGTCTCACCTGTCCCATCACCTCATTTTATGTAATTTCAACTGTATGAACAAAAGAATGTAATAGATCTGAGACTATTCTTCTATGGCTGACAACGGACCTTGCAAATGTGACCTTTTTACTATAACCTTTTCGGTACAGATTATATAACTTTCTGTTCGAATGCCAACCAAAAGGGTAATTCCAGAAAGGAAGATAGCTTTAAGTTCATCTAAATGTCTTTAACAACTGGGAATTAGTCGGAGTTTGGAAACATATTCCGTCACTTCCAACGAAATCTTACACCCTATCTATATAGAAAAGCGGTATGGATGAGAATGAATAAATCCACAACATAATGCCTATGTGATTTGAAGATATAGAATCGAAACAATACCCACACACTGTACGTTCTAACTTCTTCCATTCTCAAACATGATCTCGGAAACAGCTCTTACTTCAACAACTTTAACGATTCATCGCAGACAGCTTCTTCCATTCTCAAACAACTTCTTAGATTCGTCACAAACAATTCTCTCTACTCTTATCGATATAATTTCTTAAATTCATCACAAACATCTCTCTCTATTCTTACGTTACGACAAAACTTCCAACTCAAGGCACCTCTTTCTATTCTTACATTATTGTTAAAAATTCATAGATTCATCTCAACCAACTCTCGACTCTTATCGATATAACTTCTTAGATTCGTCCCAACCAACTCACGGCACCTCTCTCCGTTCTTACATTATCGATAAAACTGCCCGAGGAGTATCGCTGCGGCGTCGTGATGAAGTTCCAGTCGGCCTCTCCTCGGTACAAGGCGCCGTTGAAGGCCGGGACGTGGCTCTCCGGCGGCGGCGTCCCCCGGCCTCGAGCAGGAGGACCCGCCAGCCCGCCACCTCCGAGAGTCGAGCGGCCATCACGCCTCCAGCCGAGCCCGCGCCGACTGTTGAGAGCGAGGGAGGGGGAGAACGATAATTATTATTACTATGATTATCATTACTACTACTACTAATTATCATTATTACCATAGATTATTGCTGTAACGTTATACTTCATTATTTATCTAATCAGTGTTCCTGTCAGTCGAATCTGCACTGACTGTTAAGAAGGAATGAAATGTTTTTGTGTACATGTATTTTTTTAAACATTGTTATAGTAGTGTTATCTGTCACTGATATTATCATAATTTCCGTCAGCATCATTATGATTTTGATCATAATCATTAGTTTAATGATAATGGACAGTTAAAGAAAAACGATTATTATAAATGACCTATTTTACCACCATTCATTCTTATCCTGTATATATATATATATATATATATATATATATATATATATATATATATATATATATATAATATATATACATATATATATTCATTCTCAAGTTAACCATTCAATTACTCAATCTCTCTCACTTACACATTCTCCTTCCCATCTCCCTCCTCCCTATCCTTCCATCCCCACACCTTACCAATAACGA